TTATTCCCCGGCCAAAGGTCGGATACTTTTCTCACAGGCCTCGTAGAGGAGAAGGAATTATGTTTGAAGGGAAGGTGAAACATGGAACACAAGGAAAGTGATGCAAAAGAAAGTAAAGTGAGGGAATAAAAATCACATTAAAATCCCAGGTCGGAATGGTAGGCAGTCAGAGAGAATGACTAATCGAAAAGGAACGTATGAACATAGTAAGGATAGATGAATTTCATGTTATTGGGAAAAAACAAAGATAGGGGACAAGGCTGCCCAATAACCCAAGATAGAGGGAACCAAAGACCCATGGTCAAAAAACCAGGGAAGAAACTCTGGTACCTGAGACACAGGGGTTTGATCTGCAGGAAATCCCCAACTTGTAGATTAACTGCACGATGCTTTCCATTTACGCCTATAAACACCCACTGATGAAGAGTGAATGGAACAAGCTAAAAGAAAGCTACCTGTAGGTATAAACCGGATCTCTTCGACTAGGACTGAATAAGAGCCAATCGTGAAGACAAATGATGTGAATGTCAGGATGGAGTACCAGCAAATGAAGTGGACGAAAAAGGACAGGATACAAAGGAAAAGGCTGTGGAGGTAAAAGTTGGAGCTGGAGAAGTCGCGGAAATCACGGTTGAGCTGCCCATAACGGAGCAATAAGAAGGACCTAACACAGAATGGTAGGGATGAGGAAAATCACCTATGGAAGTAAGAGGATGAGTTGATGAAGATACAAGAACCTGTGGGACAAATCCCAGCCAAAGGCATCAAAGCCCTAGCTAGAAGAGGAGGTACTGGATATCAAATAGAGGTAATGGGAAGTTAAGAGATGTAGTAAAGGGATCTACATGGGGAGAATCCCATGTAACACAAAACCATCAGAAAACACAAGAATTGAGAGACCAATCTGAAGGATAAAATGTGTCAGGACGAGAAAAATAAACTGTGATCCGAGCAAGAGCACCCAGAACATGACATGCAAGGATATGAATATTGTGCGAGGGGGTCCAAATGAGCAGATGTAATATGTGCAAAAAAGAGGAAGTGCAAATGAGTGCTACCCACAGGAGCGTCATCCCCAAAAAGGGGGACAAGGGAAGAAAAGAAACAGTTTGTAAAACCCTATTACTAAGAGAAAGGAAAACAAACAGCAGTGTGACACCATACTAACCCAAAAGCAAAGAAGCCACGTGAGAAGGGAATGAACTGAAGATGGCAAAAAACTCCAACATGGAGGGAAGAGAGAGGAGGTATCCCCTGACGAAACAGAAATGTAAACAGAGCACCAAATACAGGGAAACATAAAACATTAAATGCTGGAAGAAATCTGTCTGAAGTTAAACTATAGTAAAATTGAAAGCCCATAGAAGGGAAAGCTTGCAAGTACCCAAACTCAAAAGAGATAAAAGGAACAGCACAGACAATAATATTCTACAAAATGTGTCTGAAAATGTGTAAAGGAAGTCTTGCAGGTACACCGTTTTCTTCCCATATTAATATGTTGACTAATTCATTTTGTTTTTCTTTATAGTTTATCGTTTTCTAGTTACTTTTGTTTCATTTCTACTTTATAATTATTACCATTCATTTCATTTGGTTTATAATTTATTCTTCGTTTTGTTTTTCTTTATTGTTTATACTTTTTACAGTTACTTTCACTTAATCTCTCCTTTATACTTCTTACCATTAATTTTGTCTTGTTTATAATTTATCCTTTGTACCAGTAATTTAAATTCATGTGTTGGTCCCTGGGAGCCGTGGTCTGCTGTATCTGCTTCCACTATTGCTCACCTTCCCAAACTAACGTCTGAACCCATTTTCCAATGTCCTAAAATTGTCAGTTCTTCCTCATCTTATCATGGAATGCCTTCCATACTTCTATTGCTGTACCCACACAGACTTCTCCCATTATTGTGCCTATTTAATGTTCAGTTTTGTTTTGCTTTTCATTCTTAGGATATCCTCGATTCTGTACTGTTCGATTAGGCTTAACTAGTTTCATTCTTTTCAATTTCACTGTAGTTCTAGTTTAGATTTCCTTGTTATTTCTGTTCACCATCTTGTTTGAATCGGCTTCATTACTGTATTATTTATTAACGAGTTAATATCTACTTAGGCTCCAGTTTTTCTTCACCACTACATCATATAGGATTCATTCCAATTCGTGTTTATCCTCCAGTAGACTGCATGTTACAAGGGTTGGCCTCTTTCTTTGGTTCTCGCTCATAATTCCTCCTGTAGAAGCCGACCCTGTTTGGATGGACGGAGATCTTGATAGCCTTTTTCCACCACCGGATTTCAAATGATTGGTTCTTCATTTCTCTTATGTAGTCTCTATTCCCAATATGTAGATTCTATGTTCTTCTCGTACATTTATAATGGCTTTCATTCACATTACTCCATGGACAGTTTCTGCTTTATTTCGTAAGAATTTCAATCATCCCATGTCCAGACTTTCGCCAGGCTTTGCCTCATGCTTCATGGACAACCATTTGCTATACAATCCATCAACTTTGGAAAGATAAGAAGTTTTACAATTTTATTGTTAATATTATAATCTGTAATGATTTGAATTTCATAACATATGCTTATTAGATTAGTTAATACAAAGTTACATTACAATTTGTAATTTGTCTTCATTGTTTTTTGTTACTTTTATATTATCATTTCTATTTCATTTCATTAATAATCTTTTTCTTTACTTGGTTTGGGTGGAACCCTTGAATTGGGGGTCGACCCGGCGTGGGTTTTTTGCACTAGCGGCATGTGAGATAGCACTAGTCGTAGGCATGACCCCCAAAGTGGTAACATTAGCATCAGAATGCAACTGGAATAAGCTGGGATTAATGTAGGCAAATTTCAAACTTCAGAAAATCTGGAAGTTATAATAAATGAATACCATCTCGTGAGTATACTAATATGAATGTGAAACAATAAAGAATGACAAAAAAACATCTAAGTACAAGAACTGCTAAACAAGAAGTGATAGTTCGGTAGAGGCGCATAAAGAGAGTCACATGCATCATGTAAGTGTACTATGCTCCTATTAGTGGAGAGGTGACACATGATGATTTACATGAGAGACACATTGGAATCACTTGATTACAACAGGGGGGAGCAGAAGGCTTGTGGCATGCAAAAATAAAAAGTTTGCATACAGGGGGCAGCAATGAATGAGGATAGCTAATCTTGTAAACAGAGGGAAGTACTGTATCGGAATTTAGGACATTGGAAAATGGGTTCAGACGTTAGTTGGGCAAAGTGAGCAATAGTGGAAGCAGATACAGCAGACCATGGGCTCCCAGGGACCAACACATGAATTTAAATATAAGTCTCCATGTAAAGAATAGACTACATTAAAATGATTTGATGCAAGTGGATATACTGCCACTGTTTTTCATTTATCCAAGTTTTTTATTATCTTTACCAAATAAAATTATCATCAAATTCAATAAGTTTAGTGATTGTTTAATACAATAGGAGATTGCAAAATACTGTGATGACTCAAATCTTTATTGAATATATCATTTTAATGTTTATTGTATTCAAACTTCAAACAACAGATATAAATAAATTGTCTAACTGGCTGATTATTATTTAATTATCAATTAATTTGATTCACAGAAGGGCAGTGTGGGATTACTGCATATTTGAAAAACAAATAATTGCAATCATTTGTTGTTGTTTTTGTCAACACTAGCGATTCTTCTGCCAAGCAGAAAATGTCCAAAAAAACTTGTTGAAAAATACAGTTTTCTAAAAAAATATATTGTTTTTGGCCAAATGGAGACCTTCAGGCCTATCATATGAATTAATTGGTATTTCAAAAATTACTTTTAAAAACAAAGAAAAAATTAATACCATGTTAGAACAATGCCACTTTGTTTTCTTTTTTGTTTGTATAGATTGTAGAGGTGTGGTGTAATAATCAATTAACCAAGTGTAATAAAACTATGAACCCAAATACTACTAATCTCCAAGCTCTAAACAGAAGTACCTTTAAAATCTGAAATTATTTAACCATTTTTTTATACCACATTAAAAAAATCAGCAAATTCGCACAAAGAATAACTGAACAGTACAAAAACAAATATATTTCATTAATTTTTGAAAATTCAGATTTTAAGTATTCATATTAAATGCAATTTGATTCTTAATACAGATGAAACTCAACCACTAATAATATAGATGTGATTTCTGAATGTTGTTCATATATTACAATAATATTTAGTTTGTGTCTGTCCTGAAATTGTACATGCGATTAACAGATGCAATAAGGCAGATGTAAATATACATTACTGTCTTTAGTAAACACTTTGTATAACAACATATTAAAGCTTATCAAAATTTTTAAAGAGGTCTAAAGTTAGGTTTTAGAATAACATTGTAAATTTATTTATTGATAGTATTAAGAATGGTACAGTTTAGCCCTAATTAAACTAAAGTGAAAAACATACACAAGTTACAGTGTTAATATATATCTTTATCAAATATAGGCTGTACTTAATAAAGACTTAACAAATACCAATTTGACCGTAAATGTTTTGCAGATCTCTGCTAGTTTATAAATAATCAGTATTTCCATTAATGAGAGCAAGTCATGCACAGTTTTCAAAGCCAAAACACTGTTGAAAAAATAAGTTATTGCCTATACAAAACAAGGAAGTTAAGAATGAAACTGAAACAATCAGTTATTCTTTGAAATCATATTCATATTTATTACAACCAAGTTAATCTATAGTAACAAGTCTTACAATGTACACTAAGGAGAAATATAACCTTTGAGAAGGCTTAAGCCCTAAGAGATATACCTGCAAAGATTGAACCGATAAACATTATGGATAAAACATCTCACAAGCAGATCTTAAACATTACCAAATTATTATACATTAATTATCCTATCCCATTTTGTAATAAGATTACAGGTTTAAAGAATAAACAATCTATTTGCATATTTACAGGGGACAAAATAGTTTGGTGGATTCGATTAGCAGAAACTGCTAATAAATACTGAATTGCATTAGCAATTAGCAACTACTGCTTAGCATCTTTTTAACATTAATCAGTTTAACACATAATGGCAACTAAATCCAGCACTAAAAGTCTTAACTCTTTGTAAAGACATCCACTAATGAAAAAAAGAGGTAAATGGTATGTTTTTATTCTAATAACACTTTTATTCAGCTTCAAACTCTAATATTTAATTGTACCATACATGGCATTTCATGAACAAAATAGTTCATAGTATATAATGTAAAACTTCAAAACTGCAAGAAATACCAAACACCTCAGCTGTCACAAAATAATGCAAAAATGGATTAACCAGAGAAAGAAGTGACTTGAAGATATTGAAACTGAACAATCATTTCTCAAATTAATCTAGTTTATTCTTTTTTTTCGTGAGATCTCTTCACTCTCTTCACAACATGGTCTCTTGGCTTTTTGAAAAAGAAAATGTCTAGTGACTTTCAGCAGTAATTACCCCTCTCACCATGGGCATCCTTTACTGTGCATGTCACAAGATTATTAGTCAGTTACATTAAAAATTTAATTAAACTACGTTTTATTTGTTCTTGTTATACCAATTAGTTTAGCATAAAATCATAGCTAATAATTTTTAATTTTGATAGTATATAAGTTATAATTTCTTAATTTTATAAGGCAATTTTCCCCTAGCGTGAGAAATGAGACATTTTTTCTCTATTCATTCCCTCTTCTGTAATTTATTTATCACCACTTCAAAAAGTACGAAATTTAACGTAAATTACATATTATAATATTGTTATCACTCAGTTAAGGTTAGATTAAGTAAAATAAATAATAATATAATATAAAATTTTCATGAGGCACACACACACACAAGCAGTTTGGAGTAGCTCGTGGGTAATGTAATTCGATAGTATAACATGAGCCTCACATTCCCCAAGTGTTTTACAACTTATATTATAATGGCTCAAATAGTACTAATAGTTAGACATGGTTCAAAGGGCAATAAAACATTCAAATTTAAGTATAAATAGATGTATACTGTTACAAGTTTAAAGCTATTTAGAATAAACAAATGTAGTTTCATGTTACAATTTGAAGTCATTCTAGAAAGAAACAAAGGATAATGTTGATTTATTTTTCAGAGGTTGGTAAAATCTTGTATAGAGTTAGCGTATAGAAAATAATAGCAAATAAAATAAAAAGTTTTAGTGCCAAAAAATGTTTGAAATGTATTTAGGAGATTCTAGAGATTACACAAATGACTTTTGAGGTTTTTTAGATGAAAAAAGTATTTTCAATTTTAAAATGAAAATCAGACTGGTAAAAAAAAGGCTTGATATATTCACTGACAATTCTTTAGTAAAAATACTTCATTAAAAACAGATTTTGTGTACAAGTGATTTGTAATGTTTACTAAAAAGTCTGTTATAGTATTAAAACTATATATAAGTAAAAATGGTCATGGAGCCTTTATTGAGAGAGTTCATAACTGGCTCAATGCAAAATCACAGTAAATGTACAGTGCATGTACTTGTAGGTGCATATTCTAGTCTAATTGGCTAGGATGCAGGCACCAACTAGGCGCATTTAAAACATCAGGAACAGACTAATACAAAATCGATGACGAGGAACCCACTTTGAGACTAATAATGGCTGGAGACGGCTTGAATGGGTAATGAAGAAAAACTTTAATATAAGTTTAACATAACAGCAAATGTACAACGTTTCGACAAAGGTTTTTCCTGGTGCTGACTAAAACCTTTCGAAATG